GTAGAGCATCAGATGAGGAAAGCGAAGAAGCGAGGGAAAGAAGTACAGTGTCTTCCATAAAGAGATTCAGGGCAGTCCTATACCCTGGGAATCTTGGTTACGAAAATACAACTTCCTGTGCTGGCGCGGGGTGGCCTCACCGCCCTGGTAATGCCCAGCACTCTTGGGAGGCCAAGGTGGTGGTCAACCCTGAAGGTCAGGAAAGTTGAGACCCCCAGGACCTGGCCACACGGTGAAACGCCCTGATCATCTACTAAAATAACAAATGCCCACCACACCCTTGTCGAATCCGCAGCTCTTGGAAAAGGCACGAAGGCAAGGAGAAATCACTTGAAACCCAGGAGGTGGAGGTTGGCAGTGAGCTGAAGATCGTGCCACCTGCCAACTCCCAGCCTGGGCCGACAGAGCAAGGCTAAAAAAAAATAAAAATCAAAAAAACCTTCCTGGCACATCTGCAGGTCAGCACTGAGTCGAGATATTTGGCATGGAATGAGACTTGGGTGTCTGTGTTTCTCATCAGGTGCTGGGATGGGTGACTCCCACACGGGCTGAAGTTCGAGGACCTCTGAGCTAGAGAGTACCTGCCTTTGGAATTCAAAGGACTGATGTGGACTGACGGTAGTGGTGGTGATTTAACAGCCATTGAAGGTATCATTCTCTTCTCCTTGCTAGGCTCAGGTTTCTTCTTTTTTTCCAAATAGGGACTCACTATATTACCCAGGCTGGTCTTGAACTCCTGGGCTCAAGCAATTCTCCTGCCTCAGCTTTCTGAATGGCTTGGATTATGGGCACAAGCTACCATGCCCAGCAAGGCTTAGGTTTTCATCCGTAAAATGAAGGGCCTGGTAGGGGAAGGAATTTATTACTTAGCTCTTCCTCTGAAAATTCTTATCCCTGGGATACGCAGTGATCGGCAGAGAGACCTGGAGGAATAGCTTTTATACTGGAGGTCTGCATTATCCAAAGAAAAAAAGTAAAAGTCCACTTGGGGGAATATGCTTATGATGGGGACCAAGCTTAACAGCATGTCGTGGAGGGATAAAAAGTTCCATCAGGACAATCACAAAAAACAAAATGTGTTTCCTCTTGGAGTTAGCAAACTTTATCTCTGCAACTACGTACTAATTCTCAAAAATTTTTACATTTCTACATCTTTTTTTTTTCCCCAAGACGGAGTCTTGCTCTGTTGTCCAGGCTGGAGTGCAGTGGCACAATCTCAGCTCAGTGCAACCTCCGCCTCGGGGATTCAAGCAATTCTCCTGCCTCAGCCTTCCGAGTAGTTGGGATTACAGGTGTGCACCACCATGCCCAGCTAATTTTTGTATTTTTAGTAGACGGGGTTTCACCATGTTGACCAGGCTGGTCTTGAACTCCTGACCTCAGGTCATCTGCCCACTGGCATCCCAAAGTGCTGATATTACAGGTGTGAGCCACTGCGCCCGGCCCATCTTATTATTTTTTATTATTTATTTATTTTTTTTTTGAGATGGAGTCTCGCTGTGTCTCCCAGGCTGGAGTGCAGTGGCGTGATCTGGGCTCACTGCAAGCTCCGCCTCCCGGGTTCACGCCATTCTCCCGTCTCAGCCTCCCAAGTAGCTGGGACTACAGTTATGTGCCACTACACCTGGCTAATTTTTAAATCTTATTTTAGTATAGACAGGGCTTCACTATATTACCCAGACTGGCATAGTCTCGATCTCCTGACCTCGTGATCCACCCGCCTCGGCCTCCCAAAGTGCTGGGATTACAGGCTTGAGCCACCGCGCCCGGCCCATCTTATTTTTTAAAATGAATAAAGAATGGAGTACTGATGGTGGGGGTCAAGATACACTTTTTGACAAAACTGTCCAAGAATAGTCTATGCCATCCTTTACTTTGACTTGCAGGAGTATTACAAAGGAGGTAATTTTATGAACTTTTTTTTTTTTTTTTTTTTTTGGAGACGGAGTCTCGCTCTGTCGCCCAGGCTGGAGTGCAGTGGCCGGATCTCAGCTCACTGCAAGCTTCGCCTCCCGGGTTTACGCCATTCTCCTGCCTCAGCCTCCCGAGTAGCTGGGACTACAGGCGCCCGCCACCTCGCCCGGCTAGTTTTTTGTATTTTTTTAGTAGAGACGGGGTTTCACCGTGTTAGCCAGGATGGTCTTGATCTCCTGACCTCATGATCCACCCGTCTCGGCCTCCCAAAGTGCTGGGATTACAGGCTTGAGCCACCGCGCCCGGCCTTTTATGAACATTTTAAAGGTTGTTACCTATCTTCCCAAGACTTCTCTTAATCCTTTGAGAATCAAACCATTATATTTTGAGGCACTTTTGTCATTACCATAAAGGCTCTACTCAGGCCAGGCGTGGTGGCTCATGTCTATAATTCTAGCACTTTGGGAGGCCTAGGTGGGAGGATCATTTGAGCCCAGGAGTTTGAGACCAGCCTGAGAAAACTAGTGGGATCCCGCCTCTACAAAAAATTTAAAAATTAGCCAGGCATGGTGACACATGCCTGTGGTCCCAGCTACTTGGGAGGCTGAGGCAGGAGGATCACTGGAGTCCAGGAGAGGTTGAGGCTGCAGTGAGCTGTGTTCATGCCACTGCACTCCAGCCTGGACAACAGAGCAAGACCCTGTCTCAATTTTAAAAAATATATATTCTCCTCAAATGTTACCTGGTCTCACTGTCCTGTATCTCTGTATGTGATTGATTCTCCAACACCACTCTCGCCAACTCCATGAAATCCTGTAAGACTTAGAATTACTCTCTGTGAAGTACAGTTGATCTCTGAGCAACAGTTTGGACTCTGTGGATCTATTATATACAGATTTCTTTTTTTTATTTTTATTTTTTAGAGATAGGGTCTTGCATTGTTTCCCAGGCTAGAGTACAGTACAGGCACAATGAATAGCTCACTATGACCTTGAACTCCTGGACTCGAGTCATCTGCCCACCTCAGCCTTCTGAGCAACTGGAACTATTGGTGGATACCACCACACCTGGCTAATTTTTAAATTTTTTGTAGACACAGGGTCTCACTACGTTGTTCAGGCTGGACCTGAACTGCTGGCCTCAAGGGATCCTCCTGCCTTAGCCTCCCAAAGTACTAGGATTATAGTCATCAGCCCCTGCACAGATTTTGTTCAATAAAATAACAGTGGTGCCTGCCTCTGCCTCCACCTCCTCCACCTTTTCTGCCTCTGCCATCCTTGAGACACCAAGACCAACCCCTCCTCTTCTTTATTCAACCCTGAGACAGGATGTGAAGACCTTTATGGTGATCCACTTCCACTTACTAGTAGATATATATTTCCTTCCTTATGGCTTTCTTATTTTTTTATTTTTGAGACGGAGTCTTACTCTGTTGCCCAAGCTCGAGCACAGTAGCGTGATCTTGGCTTACTGCAACCTCTGCCTCATAGCTTCAAGTAATTCTGCTTCAGCCTCTTGAGTAGCTGGGACTACAGGCATGCACCACCACGCCTGGCTAATTTTCGTGTTTTTAGCAGAGACAGGGTTTCACCATGTTGGCCAGACTGGTCTCAAACTCCTGACCTCAAGTGATCCACCCGTCTCGGCCTCCCAAAGCGCTGGGATTACAGACTTGAGTCACTTCGCCCAGGCCCCCTTACGACTTTCCTAATAACATTTTCTTTCCTCTAGTTTACTCTATTGCAAGAATACAGTGTACAAGATACAAAATATATATTGAAAATATGTACTATGTTAGCAGTAAGTAACTACTAATAGTATATTACTGGTCAACAGCAGGCTATTAGTTAAGTTTTTAGGGAGTCAAAAGTTATACACAGATTTTTCAACTGTGCTGGGCAGGGGGTGTTACGGTGCCCCTAATCCCTGAGTTGTTCAAGGATCAACTGAATTTGTCTTCTGTTTACACTGCACTGTCAGGCATTTATAACAGCCAACAATCAGAGACAATTTGTCCATCGGCAACCCTGACAGGGATAATGAGAAGAGCAGGTGGGGAGGGAACAGCTTTTGCTTTTTGTGCTCTGCTGCCTTTGGCTTCTCCTACCACCTCTTAACAGCAGGAACCTGGGATAATAAATACCCAGATCATGAGGACCTCACTCCCCAAAGCAGAAATAGGGTGTGCGTAGACAAGAGGTGAGCATCTGTCTGCAGAATTGGAATCTTTTTCCACTCTGCTTTTCTTGGCTGCTGAGAAAAAGTCTCTCTACAAATGCTTTTTCACACTGTGCCACAGCTCCCACCTGCCCTTCCAGACTGCAAAGCCACCCAGCAAGGAACCACAGACAAAGGCCACTGGTCAGGTGACGCTTTTTAATCGGCTGGTGTCTTTAGAGAATATCAAGAGTCACATGTGGGCCACAGCAGAAAGCAGAAGCCCAGTACTCAGGGTGAGGCCTTGGGGGAAACAACAGGCTGGGCGGGAGGTCAGCGATGGCTGAAGAATCCCTGAGGATGGTTGTATTTAAATGGCTTCATCCTGCTGGGACCCCTAGAGAAATAGGAGAACGGAGTAGTGAATAACACACCTTCCAGGCTGATAAAATAAATTATGGTTCATTCACACAAGGGAAAAAAAAAAAAAAAGAGGCAGAGTTATATGACACAGAATGTTGCGAGAAAAGCATACAGCAGAACAACATATAAGGTGAGATACTATTTTTGTAAAAATGTCTTTTTGTGCTTGCTAATGAGTGAACACAAACTTGGAAAGGCCCTCACTGACAGTGGCACTTCAGGGACATAGCTTTGGGTGCCCTCACTTTTTAGGATTGTTCCTTTTTTTTTTTTTTTTTTTGAGACGGAGTCTCTGTATTGCCCAGGCTGGAATGCAGTGGCACGATCTCAGCTCACTGCAACCCCTGCCTCCTGGATTCAAGGGATTTTCGTGCCTCAGCCTCCCAAGTAGCTGGGATTACAGGCATGCACCACCACGCCTGGGTTTAGGTTGAGGTTTAGTTTAGGTTTCGCCATGTTGGCCAGGCTGGTGGAACTCCTGGCCTCAGGTCTCTTGCTGCCCATGCCAGCACTCTGCATCCTGGCCGGAGAGCCTTGCCTCTCACATCTACCAGCCATAGAGTTAACTGGATCTGAGTCACTGAAGGAGCACCTTCTCAGAATGTGGACAGAGGAGCTCAGCCTGGAGACACAACAAAGCCCTTCAAGAATGGGGTCCTTTGGCCGGGAGGCGGAGGTTGCAGTGAACCGAGATCATGCTACTACACTCCAGCCTGGGTGACAGAGTGAGACTCCGTCTCAAAAAAAAAAAAGAAAAAAGAAAAAGAAATGGGTCCTTTGGGAACCATTGGAGAAGTGGAAATAAATGCCGGCCATGTGAGTTCCCACCCTGGAAATGTGTTAAGTGGGCTGGGCAGGTGGGAAGAGCTGAGGTCTCACACAAGCCCTCTAGGGAGAGCAAGTCCTAGAAGGTGACAGCATCTGGCCACCAGCTCCACCTCCCAGCAGCCACTCAGAGCTGGAACTCGTTATTATGAGACAACACAATGAACCAGGCCAGTGGAGGTGTCAGATGAGGTGAGAGGATGCTGGGACTGCTTCTAGGGGCTGGAACTGGCTGTCCGAGAACAAGGTGAGGGAGAGGTAAGGCACTGTTTAGACTGACAGGGAACAAGGAGGGATGTCCTGATTAGAAACTGATTAGAAACAGATTATCACTCTTCTTCCCAAACACTGCTCCTCCCCAGCCTCACTCAGAAGGGAAGGGATGCCTGAGCAGTGAAATCTGCAGTTCTGAAACTGACTCTTAAAGGAACATGAGTTAGGGAATGAAAGGGAAATAAAAGACCCAAAACGAAAGAGAAAGGAAAAGTAGCTGGAAGTGCCATGAGCCCAGACACTCTGAGTACCAAGCTGTCAGGAACTGCTGACATTTTCCAAGTCCCAGTCTTGTGCCAGGAAGCTTTACATGAATTACTTCTGAAGCATCATGAGCTAGAAGGAATTCCACCACTTCACTCTTCAGAAAATGGCAGTCGGGCGCAATGGCTCACGCCTGTAATCCCAGCACTTTGGGAGGCTGAGGCAAGCTGATCACTTCAACCTAGGAGTTTGAGACCAGCCTGGCTAATATGGTGAAACCTCATCTCTATAAAAACATTTAAAAATTAGTTGGGTGTGGCAGTGCCTGCCTGTGGTCCCAGCTACTAGGGAGGCTGAGGCGGGAGGATCGTTTAAGCCCTGGAGGTCAAGACTGCAAGGCTGCAGTGGGCTATGATCGTGCTGTTGCACTCCAGTCTGGGCAAGAGAGTAAGACCCTGTCTCAAAGAAAAGAAAAGAAAAAAAAAAGTGGGGGGAGGGCTCAGAGCTAAGCAGAAGTGACTCTTCTAAGGTCAGCAGCAAAACAGAGATCTGCACTCCTCTGTCTTACTTCGAGGCTGGTTCCTTCTGTGCCACCTGACTGCCTAAGCTGCGGTTCTCACTGACAGGACAGTACCCTAGAAAGACCACAGCAGACTCCCTGGGTACAGGCGAGCATGCACACAGTTTAAAAAGCTTATTTGGACAGCAAAAAGCAAACAAACTCTATTGTTTTCCACGGAAAGTATAGAAAATAAAGTTCAGCCAAATCCTCTTGGCCTATACCTGGCATTGTTTATGTGGTTGGGTGACCCACCTTCAGGAGGTGTTGGTGAAAAACAGGTGGACCAGGGTGACAGGCACAGGCTTGAAGGGGAAGTTTCAGGAAGAAGCAAGCTCTCCCCAGAAAATGTGGCTCTGATCTCTGCCCCACATCACTGTGAGAAGTCACCAGAGCCCCAGACCTCCCCTCACCTGAAGAGCCGCAGACACATCTTCTCCTGGGGAAATTCCTTGGGCCCCTCCACACTGTCGTCATGGCTCTCGGTCTCCAGGTAAACATCCAGCAGCACACACAGCCGCTGCAGCTGGTTGGTCAACAGCTGGTGGCTGGGCCAAGGGCCACACAGCTCCTTGTAGCACACATTGACTTCACCCTCCATGGCCTGTGCGGTGGGAAAGCCAGCATCTCAGCACTACCTTCCTGCGTTTGGGGGACCACAATGGCCGGGCTTCCATTCCTGGATGGGCCTGAGGGCTGATGCCTCTGTAGGAGCTGGGCCATCAGATCAAGCTAGACTGGCTTGTCCTGAGGCCCCCTCATCAAGGCAATGAGGTCTTCCTAATTTTGACCCGTAACTTTCCCTGCCTCGTATGCCCACAGCCAGGAAAACAGAGGTGTGCAGGGAAGGAGTCTCAAAATAAGACCTAAGTCAGAAGATGTTGGTTAAAAACGTGTTCCATGGCACGTTTGATTTAGTAGCTGCCACAGGCTGCTACTTAACAGCTGCAACGCTGATTAACAGCTACAATGCTGATTAACAGGTACAACGATGTCATTCTTCACGTCATTCCAGTGCTTCTATAATGCTTCAGAGCTTATTCACATTTTTTTATAGGAGCCCAAACCAATAATCTTTCAAGTAGGTATTTCTTCTTACTCTCTAAATGGGGAAACCTGCGAACCCCAAGGTAGGCAAGTAGGTCTGGGCTCTTTCCTCTATTACACCACACAAGCTCCAGCAAATTCTGCAAATCCTGGCACAACCTTCTGTTTTGGGAATTAAGGCAGTGCCCAAGCCTTCAGCTGCAGTAGGTTCTGCCACGGCCACCTCCCCCGGGAGCTTTACCTGCTCCTCCCGTCATCCCCAGCTGGGTCTTACCCGAATGTTGTCATCATTGCTGTTGGTTTTCTCCCCTTTCCAGTTCAAACAGAGCTGGAAAACAGGTGGGATGGAGGAGTAGCCAGGATTCAACACCACAGCGGCCTGCAGTTTGGCTGGGAAGAGAGGAGAGAGGAGGAAAGCTCAGTTCTAAGACCCAGCTTACCAGCCATAGCAGCCTCCCCACTGCATCCCTGAGGCCAGCTCAGATGTCTCCTATTAATCTGAATGCTGCAGAGCACATTCTGGTACCAACTGTTCTAAAATGTCCTAAGTAGAATTGCCAGCTTGCAGAATGTGAGGTCCTATAATTGGTCTCTCCAAGGACTTTGACATATTTACTGTGCCACAAAGCTGTGGACTCCCCAGAGTCTGGTCCACCTTAGTTTTCTCCATGTGTTCTATTTGCTACTTTGATAGAAATTTAATTGTCATTTCTTTATTTGCCAGCAAGCTAAGGATTTCTCCATGTGAAAGATTACTATCTAATTTTTCAACAATATTGTGTATCAACTGTTACATCAAATACATTTTCTCTATTTTCATTTGATTTTTACATACTTTGTTACACAAAATTCTTTATACTAGCCAACATGTAGAGAGTCCTTACTGTATCCCAGGCACTGTGGTAAACCCTCTAGACACATTTTATTTCATCCTAACAGTAATTCTATGAGTTAGGTACTATTATCATCATCTTCATTTTACACATAAAGAAACAGGCTCTGACAGAAACTTCTCTACCATCAAATAATTGGAAAGTAGCAGTGCTGAGTTTAACCAGAACTGGCTGATACCAAAGCTGTGTTCATAATTATTAAACAAAATATTTGTGTTTTTGAACATACTCATTTTTTCTCTGGTGAAAGCCTTTGCCTTTTTCAACAGGAGGATATTTACGTTCTCAAGTGGGATAGGTTTGCCACTTCTTTTTAGTTATTTTTTGCAGGGGAGAGTTTAACTCTCTGACCACTAGTTATTCAAGTAACAGAGGAGAGGAGAGGAGAGGTTAACATAATTCTTCCCTAATAGTCAGAATATTAACTAAAAGGTTGTGGCCAGGCGTGGTGGCTCACGCCTATAATCCCAGCACTGTGGGAGGCCGAGGCGGGTGGATCACAAGGTCAGGAGATCGAGACCATCCTGGCTAACATGGTGAAACCCTGTCTCTACTAAAAATACAAAAAATTAGCCAAGTGTGGTGGCAGGTGACTGTAGTCCCAGTTACTCAGGAGGCTGAGGCAGGAGAATGGCGTGAACCCGGGGGGTGGAGCTTGCAGTGGATTGCGCCACTGCACTCCAGCCTGGGTGACAGAGCAAGACTCCGTCTCAAAAAAAAAAAAAGTGTGTGGTGGGGAAAGGATGGAAAGCAAATGTATAAAATCCAAATAGTGGTCACCTATTAGGAGAAAGGGAATAAAGTGGGATAGGGAGGCCTCAACCGTATCTGAAATAATTCAGCTTCTTCAGAATGTTTTTTTAGAAGATATGAAGAATAGAAAGAGAAGCAAGTGGGGTAGTGAGGACAGAAACTCTGATACCAAAGAGTTCAACTTTCCTTACAGTTCTGGAACTGTCTTAGAACTACAGACAACTTCCTCAGCTCAGCACCAAGTCTTGGGGGTGTCAGATCCCACAGGCAGTGCCAGGCTTGCCGCGCCTTGGGTGGGACAACAGCATAACAGCCGAAACACAGCATCCCAGGACTTCAGCAGGGAACCTTGGCAGAGTTGGATGCCAGAAGAGGTGTGAAGAATCAGAGCTTTCAATGCCTCTGAAGTGAGAACAGGGACTGCAGAAGAGGGAGGGAGGCCCTGTGACCCTGCCCTTTACAACCTGAGTGACCCCTCAGCCCTGCTATGAAGAGGGAGAAAGAGGAGATGTCTGGTGTAGAGAGCGGTGAAGGAAAGAGCAAAGAGCTCAGGCTCAGTGCTCAGACTGGGCTTGTAACTAAGCCCGAATTTCCTCCCCAGTAAAATGGAAATGACAGCACCACCCCTAGGACTGTAGTGAGGGTTCAGTGAGACAGAGCGTGTGTGTGACTGTGTTGCAGAATGAGTCCTTGCTGAACAGGCTCTCACGATCATTATTATCTGTTAAGTCCTTGCAGCAGGATTCCAGGATCTTCTGCTTTCTTTGGGCAACCCCCAAGAGTGTTTGATTCTTGGCAGCGCCCTTTGTCTAGAACCCCTGTAATCACCAGAGCAATTACCTGTGCCCCTTTCGATGAGTGCCATGTAGTAGAGATTGGTGTCCCCAGCCAGTCCCGCATCCACAATGTCTTTGGTGAAATGCAGCTCCTAGAAGAGGTACCACAGACAAGAAGTGAACTACTGGCTCCTCTAGTTAAATCCCCTGCCCTCCCAATCAAGTGGCAGGAGCTGGAAGGTGACATGGTCCTGCATTCCTCAGGACAGTAAGGGTAACTTTTCACTCCTTCACCTACCATGTAATCCTCATGGGCAACTGTCACCCATTTCACCAGGCGAGAGACAACCTTGGCAGGGAAGAGGTACTGGCAATCACTGGTAACTGGCACAATGCCATGTTCTAAAAGAGAGCAAGACAGGTGATGTCACAGGTAGAAATCAGGTGCCACAGATGGGTAACTGGCATCCTCCTGGGGCTCTCTGAAGGGCTCAGATGGCCCGGCCAGCTATCCTGGTACACCTGGCACTCAAGTACCCAGGTCAACATGTGCCAGGAATGCAAGCATATCAACCTGACCTTCACCCAGTGCTGTGTGCTTGTGGCCAGATCCAGTGCCAGCATTTACGGTGCTTTCTCTTTAATGCAAATGATAGCCTGCCAAAGAAAAACCCCTGCAGTCAGAACTAGGGAGGATGCCCCTGCAGCAGTTGACTGTTAATTAGATCAAACAGCCTAGAGGCCTGCATTTTCATAGCTGACCTTGATGGAGGAAACAACTGAAGTGTTGTGTGTCAGGGAGAAGAGCCAGAGAACTGCTCCAGGGTAAATTCCTGCTGGCATTTCAATAAGCAAATACGGCCAACATAGTAAGCGCTGTCCAAAATGACAGGCTCCCAACCTTGGGACAACAAACTCAGCAATGCTGATGGGGAGCAAGGCCCCATGGACAAACATCGGTGCTCTGGAGAGATCAGCAGCCATGTGGAGTCCAAGAACTGGTGGGGCGTGGTCTCCAGATGTGTCCTGGAAACCCAATGCCTTTCCTGACAGAGACTCTTTGTTTCATTTATTTTTTTACTTTTTATTTTGAGATGGATTCTCGCTTTGTTGCCCAGGCTGGAATCTTGGCTCACTGCAGCCTCCACCTCTCAGGTTCAAGCAATTCTCTGCTTCAGCCTCCTGAGTAGCTGGAATACAGGTGCACGCCACCATGCCCAGCTAATTTTTGTATTTTTAGTAGAGACGGGGTTTTACCATGTTGGCAGGCTGGTCTTGAACTCCTGATCTCAAGAGATCTGTCTGCCTTGGCCTCCCAAAGTGCTGTGATTACAGGCAAGAGTCACCGTGCCTGGCCCAGAGACTCTTTTAGATCAGAAAAATCTTGACCCCATCCCCCTGCCACTGTAAGCACCTTGAACATGGTAAGCATGTGACAACCATTTACTGAGTGAATACACTAAAAGAAACTCCCAAATGCCACCACCTAAGTCAGTGGCTCATCATTATCACTTGGGAGCTTAGAAGAAAACATAGGCTCAGCCTCACCCTGGGGAACATCAGGTCGGTAGGCCTTGGGGAACGGATATGCGAGTCGCTCCCTGGACAGCTATATTCAAATAAGCTGACTGTGAGCCACAGAGCCAGGGGCAGGGGTTCACTGTGCTCAGTTCTTCTCCCAGCACTATGCTCAGTGCCAGGTATGAATCAGGATCTCATTAAATATGTGTCGAATGCACATCAAAATCTGCAATGCATGGCCTAGGATGAGTTGCCCCTGACCAATCCACAAACCTGTGCTACCCAATGGCTCTGTGCCTCCTCTGTGAGGCAGGACAGCACTGACGGCTCTAAGGGGGAGCTCAGCCCTCTGCATGGACAGGCCTGGAGCTCTCCCCAGTGGCTCTGCCAAGATGCCCACTCTGTAAAGCCAGGAATCCAGGTCTTGTATTTGTCATCAGGATTCAAGTTTTAAGTGAAAGGCTAAGTTGTTGTCCGTGTGTTACCTGAGTGACTCTTAAACCACCACCCCATCATCAGCTTACCTAGGGATGCAAACTGTTTGTGGAGGGCCAGGCGGGACTGCACCCTGGTCTTCAGAAGTTTCATGGTGGTCTCCATGTGGCTGGCGCTCAGCGAGTGGTCAGCAATCACTGTTTGCTGTGAGGTGAGTGACAGTGAGACACACACACGAGTGCTCCCCCATCCCTTCCTCTGGGCACCATCTCTCTCCTAGGACCTGCCTGCCTGCAACAGCCTGGATTATCCATGCCCCAAGATGGGTACTTTAGACATGGCAGGGTTTATCTGCCATGACAGGCCAGATGCTGAGTCCTGGCAGAAACAACACAGTATGCTGGGTTCTTGAGAAGCTGTGTCCAACTCCTGAGGAAAGGCAGGCTTCTGCTAAGGGGCCAGGCCCCCTGGATTTCTGCTCATGCCTCATATTTGGCACCTGCACACAAGAACAAAGGCAGCAGAGCCTGCAGCCATGAGTCCCAGAGCAAGGACTCAAGCTACCTGGGTCTAGAAGGCTACTAGGCTCAGAGAAAAGGCAAAAGGTACCTAAACTCTTGTAAGTCTAAGACATTTTAGTGTCCTGAGTGGACAGAAGACAGGTCACAGCTCTGAGGGGACACGTTCTGCCAGTTCAAAACTCCAAAGGCCATGACAGGCCTTTTTTTTTTTTTTGAGACAGAGTTTTGCTCTTGTTGCCCAGGCTGGAGTGCAGTGGCTTGATCTTGGCTCACTGCAACCTCCACCTCCCTGGTTCAAGTGATTCTCCTGCTTCAGCCTCCTGAACAGCTGGGATTATAGGCACGTGCCACCACACCCAGCTTTTTTGTATTTTTAGTAGAGACGCGGTTTCATCATGTTGGCCAGGCTGGTCTTGAACTCCTGACCTCAGGTGATCCACCTGCCTCGGCCTCCCAAAGTACAGGGATTATAGGTATGAGCCACCATGCCTGGCCTGGCTTTTCTAGAGTCTATACAGGAAGAGAGGAGGTAAGTTCCTCAGCCAAGTAGATGAGATCAGTGTACAGACCTGGGGCTGCTCTTTGGGGAAGTGGAGGCCACCAAGCTTCTGTACCCACAAGTAGGGGTGACCTAGCTCAAGCACATAGTCGCTCAAAGTCAGGATGCTGCAGAAAATAAAATAAATAAAATTGTGCTGTAAGTCATTTCTGCTGTGGTCCCAGGATACAGCCCTCCTCCAATCCTCCCATGCCCTCCAGACCAGCCAGTCCTGCAGGTTTGGCCATGTTTACAGCCAGGCTGCTGGCAGAGCCCTTCCACTCTGTCAGTTCCCTACTGTGAATTTCATCTCTCTCATATTCACTTTCCTCTTTTTTCCTTTTCTTCTTGCAGCCTCAACTCATAAGCAAATATCAAATACAAAGGCAGTGTACTAATATCTTTATTGGTCTACCAATTTAGAAAATCTTTTAAAAATTAATCCTCAGATAATTAAAATGTCAGACATTTTTATTGTATCACATATTATTATGCTTCTAGAGGGGTTGTTTTTCTTTTTGTTTTTCTTTTGAGACAGGGTCTGGCTCTGTTTTCCCCAGGCTGCAGTGCAGTGGCATGACCATGGCTCACTGCTGCCTCAACCTCCTGGGCTCATGCAATTCTCCCACCTCAGCCTCCCCAGTAGCTGCGACTACAAATGCCTGCCACCACGCCTGGCTAATTTTTGTATTTCTTGTAGAGACAGGGTTTTGCCATGTTGCCCAGGCTGGTCTCGAACTCCTGAGCTCAAGGAATCCACCCACCTTGGCCTTCCAAAGTGCTGGGATTATAGGCATGAGCCACCACACCCAGCATGTTTCCGAGTTTTTATCCTTCCACCCTTTTCTGTGATCTCCCTTTGCCTTGTAAGCAAGAAAGAACAAGCATTCCCTTCCTATCCTCTAGGTTTCCTCTGGCCCTAACAGGTCTCCAGCACTTAGCTTGAGCCACCAGAGAAACTCAGAAGTAGAAAGCTAGGAGAAGAGGAAACTGCTGACTCACCCAACTTTATCAAACTGATACTGATTGGCTGGATTCGGAGTTTTCTTTCCATGATCCCCAGGATACAAGCAACTCAGGACTGAGTCAGGAGACAGCAAGTCACTAGAAAAGGAAAAACAGTCCACAGTGAGAATGCAGCCAACATCTTTCTTCAACATAAGCTTGGGCAATTCGGGATGGTAATGCCACATCTCACTGATGCCAGCATTTATTGAAGGCTTTCTGCAGGCCAGACCCTTTATATGCTTGAGGTCATTGCATCCTTACAACCCTATAGGGAGGATTATCATTTCCATTTTATAGAGGAAAAACTCAAGGCTCTAAAAGATATGGCTTGTTCAAGATCACACTGCTAGTAAGTGCTAGAGGTGGGTTTATATTGTCTGATCAAACAGACTAGTACTCTTTTTTTTTTTTTTTAATTTATTTATTATTATTATACTTTAAGTTGTAGGGTACATGTGCATAACGTGCAGGTTTGTTACATATGTACACTTGTGCCATGTTGGTGTGCTGCACCCATCAACTCGTCATTTACATCAGGTATAACTCCCAATGCAATCCCTCCCCCCTCCCCCCAGACTAGTACTCTTAATCATTAATTTTTAAAAACTCATCCCTTCAAGATTTATATGGTGCCCAGGGCCTTACCTCAGGGGAGCAAAGTCCCATGACACCAGCAATAGAAATCATTTCAATTTTCATAAAAGCAGAACAACTCCTTTCTGCTACAGAGAGAACAAGTGTGCAGCTTTGGTGCTATGTCTATCTCACTTTGACCACATCTTACGCTAATCACAGAAAAAGGCCCCCTGTACGTTCCCAGAAAAAGATACAATCACATACATTGGAGACAAGGTGACCCAGCACTACAAGCGGAGAGAAATAGTGATGCTACTGCCACCCACCTGGGATGGTTCGGGCACAGTTTGTCATTAAACGTGACAAGCAAAGAAGAGATAATGTGGGAGGGTAATGTAGTGATTTTATCACAAAGGATGACAAGGCCCATTCTTTCCCTGAACCAAAGGGGGTTCTCCCTCATCGTTCCATGAATAACATCAGGAGCAACTTGGGCAGCACGTGCCTATCCTGCGTTTTGGCCCCAGCATGCCTTCAGGAACTCCACGCTGGGACAGTGCAGGCTTCCAGCTCTTCCCTACTCTGTCTCACTGAGTATCCCTGTTCCCCAAGGTCTTCGCCCCCTTCACCACCTCAAATGGAGAACTGACTACAAAACAAATAAAACGTTTCAGTCTTTTAGCAAGTGTTTAGGGACTATTACCAACAGACTGAATCAATCTATTAGTAAATAAATAAAACAGAACTAAAACTGCCCACGATGAAGGTTATTAATTGACAAAACCTGAAGAAGGAATCAAACCTTCTTGGCAAAATTTATATCTGCAACATGTGGCTCAAGACAACTGCACTTGGTAAAAATGAACATAAAAGGAAAGGCTATTTATAGTCATAAAAATATAACACCAAAACAAAAAAATTTCTCAACCAGTCAAATCTTATAAAATTTTGATAAAAAATAAGGGATTACAAAAACCTTAGTGGTCGGGTGCAGTGGCTCACGCCTGTAATCCCAGCACTTTGGGAGGCCGAGGAGGGGAGATCACGAGGTCAAGAGATCGAGACCATCTCTACTGAAAATACAAAAATTAGCCCAGCATGGTGGCACGAGCCTGTAGTCCCAGCTACTAGGGAGACTGAGGCAGGAGAATTGCTTGAACCTGGGAGGTGGAGGTTACAGTGAGCTGAGATTGCACCACTGCACTCCGGCCTGGGCGACAGAGCGAGACTCAGCCTCAAAAAAACAAAAAACAAAAAACAAAACATTAACTCTCAAGACTAGCCTGGCCAACATGGCAAAACCCCATCTCCACTAAAAATACAAAAATCAGCTGGGCATGGTGGCGCATGCCTGTGATCTCAGCTACTTGAGAGGCTGAGGCAGGAGAATCATTTGAATCGGGCAGGTGGAGGTTGCAGTGAGCCAAGATCACACCACTGCACTCCAGCCTGGGCAACAGAGAGAGACTCCTTCTCTAAATAAATAAATAAATAAAATGAAATAAAAACATTAACTCTGTCAGGTAGAATTTTTAAAAATTCTCTAATGAATTAACAGATCTGGGCAACAGTTGTCAATGACAGTAACATCACAAAAACTGAGAGAGCCTCTGCTTCTTGATGCAAGTATTCAACAACTATGACATAGTCCTGCCCTCTACCCAACCCACCACCGCAAAAAAAATATAATCCGATCAAGTCTTTAAGCCAACTCCCCGTTCACAAGAACATACAGGGAGAAAGACGAACACATTTAACGTATCCGATACCACAGGGACATAGTTCTCAAAATCCAGACTAGGTAGAACCTACAGAGCAAACGACCCATTTTCTCCAACAAATAAAAAGATGGTGGAAAGCCCAAGACAATGAATCTTAGGAGAAAACAAAAAAGATGGCAGGACATTCTGATAAGAAGACACTTGAGAGAAGCTTTGCTCATTGGCAATGTATGGGCCTTATCGTGATCCAGACCCAAAACACAAAACTATTAAAAAAAAAAAAATTGTTTATCTGAAACCCCCCTCCCCCAAAGTGCTGGGATTACCAAAGGCTTAAAGCCACCGCCGCCCGCCTATTCTTTATGTTTTAATAGACAAATCAAAAAACTGTATTGCCAAGGTTTAGTGTCTTCCATGGTGGACAAAGGCAGCCTGGATTTGAAGCAAAGGCTTCTGGGCTGG